TTTTATCAGTACTAATTCTCTTAATGCTTCTCTCAAAGTATTGGAAGTTACCTATAGCATCTTAACAGGTCAAATCTAATAAATCTAGTTAGTCAAAACATGAGGAGTGGTGACGAGCAAAACTAGTGTTCGGTTAAACCTGCAAACAAAGGTTTTCCACAACTCCTTCATCTGACAAGTGGTTCAACATAAATTGCAGCATGCAATTGTTTTGGCAGTAGCTTTTAGTATGTTTTGTTTAAAATATTTGTGTAGTTCCCTTTTTACTCAAATGGGCAAATGCACATTCATCTGTGGTTTTTATTTGCAAATAACCAAGAAACTTTGCTACCTCATATTTGTTTATCCAACTAGTCATATATGGTATGAAGCTCATGTGTTTTGATCTGTTGAAGTGTGTGACCATCTCATCTAAAAGCTTAAGCTGTTAGAGAGAGCACATTTTTATTATTTAATTATATTCTCAATATGATCTTTCCTTTATTTATTTTTAATTGATTGTGCATCTAAATCTTCATCTGTAAGCATTTGAAGAGAGTCGCTTGCTTTTTTATTGTTTGAATGCTGGAATTTTATTTTGCAGTGATGGATGGGATAGAACATCACAATTGGTCTCACTTGCCAGCTTGCTACTTGACCCATACTATCGCACAATTAGAGGGTTTCAGGTACTGAGACAACTTGTTTGGATCTAATCTGCACATGCTACCTGGTATTTACATTTGTAGCCTTGTTTTTTCTCCTTCTTGGAGCATGAAATACTCCTTCCACATGAAACCACTAAGGTCTGTGTTAATGCTTCAGCTTGTCATTTTACTCCTAATAATGTATTCAGTCTCGCTTCTGTCCTGGGTGTTAGAAGGATTTAACTTTTTAGTGAGGCATTGCTACCCTTGGTTATGTATGGACAGCTTTTCTAAGTTGCCCGAATGAACTATTATTTTCCAGGCACTTGTAGAGAAAGATTGGCTTGCATTTGGTCATCCATTTTCAGATCGTCTGGGAATGCCCACTGTATCTGGAAATGGCAACATGCCGTTTGAATTATCTCGTCAGGCTTCGACTGGGAGTTTACCTTTATCACCCATGCGTCAAGGATCGGGGTCAGCCTCAACCCAAGCTCAAAATACAGCAAATGCGAACCATAGTTCCCCCATTTTTTTGCAGGTACGTCTTTTGGGCGGATAAATCTGCACGGTGCACAGTTCTATCGTTTGTTTGGGTTAATTTCTTGCATTTGACAAAACATCCCCCCAGCCCTGTGCTTCTTCTTCTATTAACCCTTAATTGGTTTCTTTGATTTTTTAGCTCTAACTTGATATACTTGGATGCCCTTTGCAGTGGATTGATTGTGTTTCACAGTTGTTAAGGATGTATCCCTTTGCCTTTGAGTTCTCTTCGGTATGTGTTGCTAAAGGACATGAGAAATCAAATATGAATAAAAATATTATGTTCAAGTAAACTAATAAATTACACCCACCAGAGAAAATAAAGCTTCCCATCTTTCAATTCCAACAATGCAGGCTTTCCTGGTAGATCTTCTGGATTGCATGCTTTCTTGTCGTTTTGGAAACTTTTTGTGCAACAGGTAATCTCATCTTGGAAGTATTTTCTTTTGCACTTTGTACACTGGCTTTTTGTTGAAAAAACAGAAAAACTCGCACTCTGTTAGAAGTTAAGGTGCTTGTTTGGTATATTGATATGAATGAGATCCAGGTCTGATAAAAGGGAATAGAATTAGAGTTAACAACCTGAAGAAGAGGTGTTACAGTTCTGAGGCGTCTGCTGTCTATAATATCCCCCTGGTCATGTTTGATTACATCATATTAGAAGTTAGGTTTCTGCTCAACACAAAAGGGCGTAGTCATTTGTCATGTGTGCTTGACTTATTTAAAAAGAAATTCCTATATGATGGTGCAGGAATGACAACATGAAAAAAAAAAATCCTTTGTAGTATCTCTTTATTTCTTTCTTCATTCATTTTTTTTTGGGTGGGGTCGGGGTGGGTTATTTATACTTTTATGATCAGGATTTACAGATATTAAGCACTGTAAGAAACTTTGCCACCTCAGTGGTTTTGGATTTAGGTTGTTTGAACTCCATCACGGGAAGCTAGGATTTTTCTAAATGTCATTTCCTAGTTTTAGTTCACTTCTTCTGACTTTTATATATTTCAGCGAGAAGGAAAGAGAGCAAGCTGGTATATATGATGCTTGTGGATGCCTGTGGATGCATTTAGCTGGACTAAGGACATCTGAAGGAAGCTCTCATGCACATTACAACCTATTCTATGACCCACTGAAACATAATGGTCCTATACTTCCACCAGCAGCAGCTTTAGCTCCAACTGTGTGGCCTCAGTTTCATCTTCGTTGGGCTTGCCCCTCAGAGGCACAAGGTGGGGAAGTTGAGGCTGAATGCAGGAAGCTGACGAGAAAATTCTCTGAGCTGCAAAGGGTAAACACTTCTTTTTTCTATCTTTTTTTTTTCTTTTTTTTTCCCTTTGTCTTAGGATCCCTGTAATTTTTGTCGTAGGATTGAAGAAAATTCTCTGAGCTGCAAAGGCTTATATGAGTTTCATGAGAAGATTAGCTACTATGAAAAAATAACTTTGCCATACAGTCTAGTATAAGATACATCCAACCTACATAATTGACAAACATAGCTTTCTAGCTTATTTATTTTGTAGCATGTCATTGTCGCTCGACTGTTGCATCTTAATTTTGTCAATGCATGCTAGAACTTGGTGTGTATCCATTACTCCTTCATTAACTGTCTAAAAACAACTTTTACACAGGCCAAAGAATTAGCAGAAACAAGACTTAACGAAGCAAGTGTCACCGTGGAGTCCTTAGCTACAGAGCTGAGAAATGAGAAACTTGCAAGCACCTCTGCCAGGGATGCGGTAAAAAGATCAAGCAAAGAAACTGCAACTATAAAGCGTGCAGTACAATCTTTGGGGTTCAGTGTCTACTTTACAGCAGATGGAGACTGTAATGTAGGCATTGAAAGGAACCCAACCGAAATCCCTCAGCGATCTATCTGCTCAGTTCTTACAAAGGATATAAATGGTACAGTGTCCCACAGTGAGAAAGCAGACCTCTCTGAACCTGTTTCTATGATGGAAGATAATGTTTCTGACAATCCTCTCATCCGAGTTTGTGGATCTCTGTGCCCGATGCACACTAGAGATGGAGAGTGCCAGTTGCCAAATGCTGGTTGTGCTCAGTTTCAGAGCCAATTGGTTGATTTCAAAGCCAACTTTGATGCATTTGATCGGCTTTCGATATATGATAGTTATTTTGGAAGTTAACAAAGATGGTTTCAGGCAAAGCATCAAACTTCATTTATCTGGTCAGATATCTTTGTACAGATGGGAATTAAATGGAGGCAGTAGGTTCAATTTCTATTATTAGCAAAAATTACAACAAACAATTAGACAAGTAGCAGCAGTCAGTACAACAGCATTCAAACATAGTTTCTGTTAGATTGAGATGGCTCAAGAACTGTACATGGAGAACTGATTGAGTTTCTATGCGGATCATCTGAAAGTTTTGACATTGCAGAGGATTGAGAAGATTGGAACTGATATTGTCTGTTTAGGACTGATATTATTTAGACATAATCCAAATGTACATTTTGACATAGGCATTCCTCCTCTGAAGTGTGTCTGTAGGGGTTCTTTCTGCATTCTTGTACATGACAAATAATTATGCGTTCTGAATAAAATGGTTCTGGTGGACATCCTCTAATTGTGTGTGGTGTTGTTCATGTCTGCTTAACAATTGTTCGCTATTATACCGAGGCAGTCTACCCGTTGAATTTACGAACTGATTGTTTCTGCTCTGAGCCATAGGGCTTTTCTACACATATCATACTTGGAAGCTTGAATTTTATCTACTCATGTTCCTTTTGATTGGGAATGTGAAGTGGACCACAAGTATACAAGTAGCAGCATCAAATGAACTGTAACGTTTTGTCGTTCATTTACACAAGTTGTTGAAGTTCACAGCTTGGTTATGTGGTGCAGGAGATGAATCATGTGAAATTTTGGCATCCTATGCTGGAAATTTTGTCTCTGAGCAGGAACCTCATGGTACAATTTGTCTTCTTTGTTGCCAAATGTTTGTTTGAGCTTGTAGCTGGCCATTTTTTCCTTACCACAAACGTGCGTGTAAAGCAAAGGTCATAATGAAATAGATACTTTCTTATTTTCCAGCTAACTGTGAACAAGAGTGAAGGGACCTTAGGAAGGAGGTTACGGAGGTCGAGGATTAGGGTAGAAGGTTAGTAGGTGGGACCTTATGAAGGCGGTAACGGAGGTCAAGGATTAGGGTAAAAGGTTAGTAGGTATTCGAACGCTGTCTAGAAAGTTAGTAGGTGGCCGAACATTGTTTAGTTTACTTTCTTTTAATTATTATTAATACTCTCCTATTATCGTATTATTGACTCTCTTTTATATTTCCTTTCCGTACCTAATTTGATATGTTTTACTTAAATCAAGGGTAAACAACCCCTTACCTTCCGAAGGTAGGAATAAGGTTGCATACACTTTACCCCAAACTCCCACTTGTAAAATTACACCGAGTATGTTGTTCGGATGTCACTCTACTCGCGACTCAACGTAAATCAAATCTAATATTGGTAAAGGGGGATTATTGTGCTGTATCATCGCATCCACACAACTGCAATATAAATGCATTTCCGTTCGTCAACCCATCTCATCTATTTGAAGGTAATTTATAATAAGTTGGCTTCAAGATATCCAAAATTTGTTCCTCGAACTGCAATCTGAGCTACTTACCATGAACAAAATGATGAGAATTTAGCCTTCCACTTTCCCAATATCATGTACTCAAGAGCACCAACTTTTCATTAAAAAAAAGGAGCTTATCAAGTTGAATGAATATATGAGCTTTACAATAACTCATGCACACATCCACTTGCTTTAGCAAGAACAGCCGAAACACAGGTTGTACAAAATAATGCTGACCGGCTAATTGACGTAAAGCTTGATCCGGGTTTTTACATTTAGTATTGTAAAACCAGAACTGTGACTTCAACACTTTACAAGACTCATATGAAGTCATAAACCTGTCTCCACAAGTGTCATTCTTTGTTTTCTCTTGTCTAACATGTTGCAGTACAAAGTCTACTCTTGACCGGGAGGAGGTTCTTCATCAGATGGCTTCCTGTTTCCACGACGCTCATTCCATCTTGACCATGCCCACCTTAAGACAAAGAACCCTCCAATAGCATAAACCTGATTTCAGAAACAGTGCAGAAGATTCAGGTAGTAGAATAGCGAAGGCAGCATATGAAGGGAAAAGCAAAATCTTAAGATATGTAGGGGCTCCACATTTTGCTCGCCAAAGAGATGATTATTTACAATTTCCTCCTCCTTATTTTGGTTACACAATCCATTTAACTACTTATTTCCTCGTCAGAACACTATATTGAGACAAATAAAATTTGAAACTACACCAACAGAAAGCAGGAAAGATAAGATCTAGAAATTTGGTCATCAAAGACAGATCAGGACAGATATAGATTAACCCCAGAAGCATAACCAAGTCGTGTCCATGCATACAGGAGAAGGAACACTTACTATAACCCACTTCCTCTACTTCTCTTCCTTCCTTTGCTCTCTACCTTTGTGTCAATATTGACTACAAAATCTTGTGTGCAAAGCTCTCACTTCATCCTTTTTCATTTGATGTATATATATCCACAGAAAGATAATTCATTTACATATTTCTAAATTATACAGCTGATGTTCTGAAACATATAATAGATGTAACAGGTGGTTCCACAGTACTGATGCAGTTATTCCATATTTGAATTATGATATCTGACACTACTATTATTATCATTTTAAGAAAGGTAACTTTGTATTCATCAGTATGGTACTGATACTGGCAGTAGGGTAGTTACAAAAGGCCTAGGATCTTACAAGTGATTCTGTATCTACTACATAATATACATAATTCTCTCACACCAGAACTGAAATGACAAAACAATTTAGCTTGATTCTTTATATAGATTACTTCTATTCTCAAAACATCTACTGTTCCCCTCTTTCCAAATGGTCCACCAGATACAAGCTGGTGTCATTGACCACCACTTCTACTGTCCTGTTCTTAGTTTTAATGTTGTTCCAGCACCACAAAAGGTCCTTAGTATCCCCCTGGCATCACCCAATTTAATTTGTATTCAAGCCTATCTGCTGCTCCTAGTCTGTCTTCTTTATCCCATGTATGATATCAACGCTACGTTTTTTCCTCAAAGAATCAATGATAAATAGCTGATTAATCAGTTGAGGTGCTTACGGACCTCAGTGAATACAATGTTCTTTTCTCTTTCTAGGTCCACAGAGTGTAAACTGCTCTCAAAAGGTGATTAAGGTTGGAGAATATAAACTGCTTCCAATACTGTAACCATACTATACAGTAGCTACTTCCCAACAGGTTTGGAAATTCATGAAGACTTCTCTGACAATAGGAATTCATATCTTCTCCTCAGCACTAATTCTCTTTGACACAATCTCTCAGAAAACAAAGTCACATGGGCCAGTACTAGTATCACATGCAAAATGTTGGTTTCTGATAAGAGGTGTCTCATTTCAATTCTCCATCACTGAGAAGTGAAAAAACGGTCTCAAGGAAATAATTAATTGATAATCAGATTATATAGCAGAAATGCCATTAGATAAGCTCTCCAAAAAAAATTATCTTACCATGAATTCACTTTGATATGATCTCTCAAAACCGAAACCAATAGTTGAGGTGCTAGTAACAAAAGTTTCATAGAACGCACACCTCCTTTCACTTCTCGATCTCTAAGAAGTAAAAGCAGCACATCTTTGTAAAAGGCATGCTATTACAAAGAGTAGAATACCTAGAACAAGGTAAAGAATCAAAACTTACAGGGGCAAGCTTTTGCCCTTTCCTAATGAAATTTATTACTTTATCAAAAAAAATACATAAGGATTTCCTGGTAAGCTAAGAATGGCAATTATCTCCACCTATATTCCTAGCAAAGTTTCAAAATTCAATCCACTGAACAGGAGTTACCATAAAGACAAGCTGGCCAGATACATATGCAGATGTGCCCTACCGGCATGTGGTGGAGATTATTTGGGTGAAAGGACCCTCCCAAGTCTTCAATTAAAAAAAGAGTGGTGTTGTAGTCATGCATAATTAAGTAGATTGGGTGTGATTATAATTCTTAGAATATGGTGGTAAAGATAAAACTCCCAAAAATTCTTAAAAGAATCCATTACCCACTTTCAATTTTTCAAATTTTAAATTTGAATTCCCTCTCTTCTCTTCATCTTCAGTTTCTCCTCCCCCTCCCCATTTAAGTGTGAAAAAAGATTTTAACCTATGAGGGGAGCTCAGTAGTAAATCCAACAACTATCGTACATGTTTTCTCCTTCTCTTTCAATCTCTTCTATTTAGTGGAAAGAGATTTATGAATGAATCTGTTGTGAGGATTATGCAGTAAATCCAACAACTTACTAAAATTGTCCAGAATGTTCCAATAACTACTAATGAGTGTTGGAACGAATTATGTAGTAGTCCAACAACTATTGTAGACAACTATGAAGTTGTCGGAACAAATTCAATAGTTGACCAACAACTGTTGTGGACAACTTTTGAGTCTTCTTTTTAAGGAAGAGTGACTCAAGTTGTTTTTGCTACAAGCGACTCCTTTAATTAGTATTAATGATACATATTTAAAAGCCTACAAGTTTTTTTATTAACACAAAGCTCCTTCCCCCCATCTCATCTGCCTCCGCGTCTGTCTTAAACCCACAACAATAGAAATCTCACAAGAAGAAGAAGGTAATACAGAACTCCTCTTTGAGACCGCATCCCAACAACTTCAATAGTTGTCCAATAACTTTTTGATGGAGCTTGTTGGAAAACTTCACTAAGTAGCAACTATTGAAGTTGTTGGATTTACTGGAGAATCCCCTCCATTTGTTCAAAAATATTCTTCACAACCAAATGGAGGATGAGAAGATGAAGAGGAGAGGAGAGAAAATTCAAAACTGGTAATGGTTTCTTTAATAATTTTTGGAGTTTTTAATTCTTACCCCAACCTTTTAGTAATTGTTTACACACCTCAATCCACTTAATTATGTTTGAGCAGGTCAACGAAACTCTTCTCTAATTCAAGACATGAAGAGCCTTCACCCAAATAGTCTCTAGTCACCTTGCACCATTATCCATCCTTCCATTTACAGAACTATGCTTTAGCCAGTAACAGAAAAGTTGTATGCCAATACATTCTACAACTATGTTGACCTTAGCTATACAAAAATTCTGCATAGCAAACTATGCGGTCATCTTTACCACCTGTTTCTGAATAATATTCTACATTGAATAAGTCAACTATATGCTTCATGAAAGAATCAAAAAATCAGATTTCACATATCCAAAAAGATCAGTTCCTAATAAACAGAAGGAATTCAAAAGAACAATTTGATTATTTCCACAAGGAATTTCAACAACAATAACAACATACCCAGTCTAGGGACAATGGGATGTACGGAATTTCAACAACAACATACCCAATTTAATCCCACAAGTTGAGTCTAGCGAGGTGGTGTGTAAGGAATTTCAACAACAATAACAACATACACAATGTAAACCCACAAGTGGGGGAGGTGCGGTGTACAAAATTTCAACAACAAACAACAACATACCCAATAATCCCACATATGGGGTCAACAGACGGTGGGGTGTACGGAATTTCAACCACAAACAACAATATACCCAGTGCAATCCAACAGGTGGCGTCAATGGATGGTGGGATGTACGGAATTTCAACAACAACAGCATACCCAATGTAATCCCAGAAATGAGGTCTGGAGATGGTGGGCTGTAAGGAATTTCAACCACAAACAACAACATACCCAGTCTGGGGACAGTGGGATGTACGGAATTTCAACAACAACACACCCAATTTAATCCCACAAGTTGAGTCTACCAAGGTGGGGTGTAGGGAATTTCAACAACAATAACAACATACACAATGTAATCCTACAAGTGGGGTGTACTGAATTTCAACAACAAACAACAACATACCCAATATAATCCTACATATAAGTTCAACAAACGGTGGGGTGTATGGAATTTCAACCACAAACAACAATATACCCAGTGCAATCCAACAGGTGGCGTCAGTGGATGGTGGGACGTACGGAATTTCAACAACAGATGTAATCCCAGAAATGAGGTCTGGAGATGGTGGGCTGTTAGGAATTTCAACCACAAACAACAACATACCCAATATAATCCCACAAATGAGGTTGGGAAATGAGGTCTGGGGATGGTGAGTTGTACGGAATTTCAACCACAAACAATAACATACCCAGTGTAATCTCACAAGTGAGGTCTAGGTACGGTGTGGGTCTAAGGAATTTCAACAACAACATACCCAATGTAACCACACAAATGACATTCGGGGACGGTGGAGTGTATGGAATTTAACATAATAATTTGACATATACACACACCAAATACCAAATAGTAGCTCAAAAACTAATTAAAACGACTATCTAAATGAAACTGAATTCCAAAATGGAACAGAGCATAAGTAATATAATACCTGCCACAAGACAATGGGGTTTGTATTAGGTTCAGCCCCTTCTGTTTCGAGCTTCAACGAAGGCAAATCCTGTCGTGGAAACTTCACTACAGCAGCTTTCTCCTCTTTTTCAGCTGAAGCAATTGGTTTGAGGTCTGAAGTAGCAGCGGTGGGTTCAATCTTCTTACTAGATGGCGGCGGCGGTTTGAAGAACTGAAGAACACTAGAGATAAATGATGCAAGTGGGTTCGTGGAATTGTTTTGCTGGTCATCGGGAATCGGAATAGAGTCGCCGGAGATTGTTGTTGTGGTGTCCGCCATAGCTAAGTTTTTGGAGGTTTTTGACTTTGGGGAAATGGCGTTAGTTACAATAACAGTACTATTTATATATATGAAGGCAAAATGAGCGAGAAATTACCAGAACAAACGGGGAACGGGTATGGGCCCTTTTTTTTTCCCTTTTAGCGTGGCACGTTGAACTTACCGAAGATGTAATCCTCTTAATAAAAGGTATGGAGGTCATGTATTCGAATCACGAGATAGTAGGTTATTAAGTGTATATCTGTTTCTCTCTTTTTTTTAAGTTGTTTATTTTCGAATTCTTGATATAATTATTTATTTTATTGTTACATTATTATTGTTGTTGTATAGATTAATTCTTTAAATTTTACTCTTGTAGAATTATATGTGATGACGAAAGTGGTTGGTAGAGCGAATAGTCGAATAGGTTGTAGTGGATCTCAGAGGTGATAGTGATGATGAAGGTGATATTGATAATAGTTTATTTAGTTTTAATAATGGAATTGGTAAGTGTGATCGTACTGATTGACAATATAGTAATTGGCAATGATGGTTGATGGTTGGCGAAGTAGTGATCGTGATGGGGAGGTGGTTATAAGTAGTTATAGCAATGGTGTACCTAATGACCTAAGATCTAAACTAATTAGATTCATACTTTTTATTTTTACAGCAAATAAATAAGTCCTTAATAACTTCTTGCATGATTATTTTCTAAAAACTGGTTAGATCAAATTTGTTTATAGGAACGATCCACAAGCCAAATAAAAAATATAAGAAACTTCTTGTGGCTTAATAGGAAGTATGATTTGATTTCTTTGATGCTTTTGAATGGGGCTATGTTTGATTGAATATAAGATATAAATTTAATTAAATGGATTTTTGAGTTTTTTTTTTTGAACTTCAGGATAACCCGCAGCTACTACAATTTTTGCCACAACCTCTGCTTTTCAGGTGAGTACTATGTGATGAGCACTTACTGCGCACTGGGTAAATCTTTCACTGTGTAATAGACTGCAAATTACACAGGAGATGTAAATCACACTAGGCAAATCCTATGCGACAAACTCGACTTATAAAACATTGAGAGGGATCAATTATGGGTCATCATTGTAGATAACTAACCTCCAAACCAACTGATCCATCCCGATGGACAATGGATTTATGAGTTTGGGTAGATCTATTATTAAAAATTTGATATGATATATCAAATAGTAAAGAACAACTTTAAATCTCTTTAAAGTTACTCATTTAGGTATTTGTTTATAATTGATTAAGACGTCTATTTTTTCCTAAAGATGGTGTTATAATTTACCGTGTCTCTTATTCTTGTATAAAATAAAAAATAAATATATTAGCTTGTCAGTTTTTGATTTCAAAGTTTATATACTAAGTTTAATTTTGGAAATATTGATGGATAACCCTTTTTCTTTTATGAACTAATAATTCAATATTTTTTCTGTCTTATAAAACTTATCATATTTTTTTTAGAGTCAAATTATTTGAATTTGATAAATAGTTAAGATGTATCTATTACCGATATAAGAAGAATTGTATATTAGTAGTACTTTTGTATAATTTTTAAATATTTAAATTTTAAATTAATTTAATCTAATTTAGATTAAAAGATAAATCAAATGGCAATCAAAAAGTAAAATATGAGAACTATTGTTAGACGTACATAGTAATAAGGCGGAATGACCTAGGAGACCTCTGTACTTGGCTCAATTTGTAAGTTAGACCCTTCTACTTATCAATTTGTCAACTGAACTCCTAAACTCATCATAACACAATATTTTAAACCCTTTTGACCATTGACCGAACTTATGTGGCATTGATAATGCTGAGTTGGAAAAATACGTGATTACACGCGTTTGACAGCGAGTAAATAAGGTATTTTACATTTAAAATATTTAAATAAATAATAATCAATTTTAAAAAATAATAATTCAAAACCCATCTTCCTCAACCATCCCTCTCCCATCCCACCCCTACCCTTGGAAAAATACGTGATTACACGCGTTTGACAGCGAGTAAATAAGATATTTTACATTTAAAATATTTAAATAAATAATAATCAATTTTTTTAAAAATTTTTAAAACCCATCTTCCTTAACCATCCCTCTCCCACCCCACCCCCACCCTTGGAAAAATACGTGATTACACGCGTTTGACAGCGAGTAAATAAGATATTTTACATTTAAAATATTTAAATAAATAATAATCAATTTTTAAAAAAAATCAAAACTCATCTTCCTCAACCATCCCTCTCCCACCCCTCTCTCCTTCGTCCCCCCCCCCCCCCCCCCTCCCCCTTCTTCTTCTTAGAATGTCATCCACCAGACCACCACACCCACTGTCCTCCTCTTCATTCTCTCCTTCATCCACTTCCTTCTCAACCCACACTTCTTTTTCACTACAAATAAGCCGCCCACCCTAACCACTTAGATCTACCCCTCTCTTAACCCTTTTAAATTTTAGCTTTTTAGTCTAAAAGTATTGAGATTATCATTTGTTTTATTAGGCTTCAAAAAAGAGATTTAAGTATGGATTAACACGAAGGATAATGGTGGATATTGAAAAATTAAAACTCAATTTATAAGTTAGAGAAAACTTGAAAAATAATAAATGTGTCTTGTGAATTTGTGAAATTAATTCGAAATTGTGATTGGGATTAGTTGGATTTGTGGTGGTGAGCTTGTATTTGAATTTTCAAGTCAAATGATGAAAAATTTCATCTATTTGACATGAATTTAGTTTTCAATTTGAAATAAATATGAAGAACATGCTTATTTGGATTTATTTATTTTTTAAAAAAATGCTTATCTAAAATTTCCAGAAATTACAAAAGTGGCTTAATTGATTTTTTTAATTTTTAACATGTAATTTCTTACATGTCATTAAAAAATGACATGAAATTTCACGTGTAAGTAATTGTACTTCACACACGCTAGTCAAATGAAAAAAAAGTTTAAAATATTGCGTTCTGATGAGTATAGGGTTCAGTTGATAAATTGATAAGTAAGAGGGTCCAACTTACAAACGGAGCCAAGTACAGGAGTCTCCCAGATCATTCCGCCTAGTAATAACTAATAACAAGTTGTGATATGAGAATTGTAAATTATGTCATTGTTTTGCACATCTCAAAAAGTTTAGTAGCACTCTCTCATTTTCTTTCAATGTACGAACGTTGAGATCACTATTCAAACTAAAGCTTACTTATACCGGGAGTTCACACCCAGTAACATTGATTTATGATGATCAAATGATAATATTAAAATGATAACTTGTAATAAATAAATAGTTATGATTTAGTTATTTACCAAACATCATATTTGATATACTAAATTTTATTGATAGCACTTGAAATGTTGTCAAATATAGTACTTTTAACACATGAATAATTTACTTTCCAATTAGATTACAAGATTCAATATTTTTGTAATTATCATTTTATAAGAAATTAACAAAATGCAAAAAACGCATATTTCATTAGTATAATATAATAACTGTTTATCATTAGTCTCGGCAAATGAGATTCCTACAATATTAACCTATGAAATATGGCCACAAATAACATAATAACGAGTTAAAAAAGAGTGCCCAAATATAATTAAGACTTAATTACAAAAGGCATTATGATATTACTCTGTACAAAGGCGAAATCATGAATTTTAATTTTATATAGTTTTACATCATAAATATTTGGATATTAAATTTTAGATTTCTTTTACATTAGTTTGAGCATAAGTAATTGAATTCTACCAACTCATAGCTACAAGCCTATAATATCGTTTCGCCCCTAACTTTAGATAATCGGCTCCTTTTTTCTTGTTGGATATAAATTGTCTTATGTACTTTATATATTTTAATACTATTATTATTTTTTGAGAAAAAAATTATTTAAGAGTAATGTTTAGTAAGGATTTTAGGAGATTTAATTTCTAAATAAAAATCAGCATTAACTAATAATATAATATAACATTCGGTTGCTCATTTTAATTTTCCTAATAATAATACATGCTCGAGGTAAAAATGATAAGAGTAACACACGAATTGAATGCCAAAATAACTATAAAATTAACTCTCATAATAACAATATATTTTTTATTTAAAAGTAAGTTAATAATTTAAATAATAAATTGTATACAAATATGTAATACATCAAACTAAGCATGGAATAAGATCTTGTATATAATTGTTGCATTTCCTTTTCTTTTTACATTATAGTTCTTATATTATTAATTTTCACATAATTTTTTCCTGACTAATTTATGTTTTACTAATAACTTGTCATTGTACCAAAATGACTTCTAAGTAATTATTTTTATTGCAAAAGCAAAAAAAGAAAATGACATATAATAACATGTTGTGATATACATATGTCTTGTCATTATCAAATCTCAACTTCATGTTATACAATCTTTTTTTTTCTCTAAATGATTTTGGTTCATACAACAATAAAGATGATATTGGACTATGATATTTTCCAAAACATTATATCGTCCTATTCTTATCAAAGGAAAATGGTCAAAGCCAAACTCGATTTTATGAAATTTGAATTTTAAAATAATAATAATAATTGAATTTTGAGTTCAATATATATATAGGAAAACATTACATGTTAGTGACATTAGTCATTATCAATGATTATAAATCTGAAATTCAAATTTTGAGAACAAAATCATATTTAACAAGTAAAATTTTACAAAATAAATTAATCGACTTCAAAATAAGTAACGGACAACAAATGATTAAGTAGGGTATAATTCCAACCACTATGTTGATGATATTGTTATGACTTCGAGTTAATGTATGATATGTCCTATAAGTAACAATTAAATTCACAGTCAAATATTTGATTTTTTAATACATATATTAAAATCCCGTGACCATGTTCTTATAAAAGATGTCCTCAATAGTGGACAAGTGGTGACCACCATTAAAATCTACCTATATTTTTTTTTAGGTAGATTAAAATCTATCTACCTACATCAGTGTACTAAAAAATTTTAAAAATACACCGCAAACACAAATTAATAAATTAAGAGATCTATCTTGATTTTATTTTATTTTTGGAATTTTATAC